ATAATAACTGTTTTTGTTCGCACATTTAAAGAGTAAGTTGACCTCAAGGTAAAGAAAATGTCGTTGTCGAGTCAGTTTCATTGAGTTCCCTTCACGTGACTTTAGTCTGAAATCAGCTAAGTCAGAAATCTGAGTTTAAATTACACACGGTATTAAGCTGATCTAATTAACAGTGTGATTAACACATACAGGAATCTGACTCTGGCACAACAAAAATTCATTTCCTACTCTCTTATAACTGGAAAAAAAATACTCTTGATGTCATGGAAAGGACCAACAGGACCCGATGCCACAGTTTGGCTCAGAGAACTGTCCAATACATCACATTAAGATACGCACTGAGAGATAATGTGTCACACTTTCAAAACATCTGGTGACCTTTTGTAGATTTTTTTATTATCTGTGTCTGTAAACATCCACAACAACTTTGCACCATACAGTATTTAATTTCTGACTCCTCAGTGTTTACATTTACATATTTATAGATATAGATTTATAGATATACATATTTATAGGATGTATGTTCTGTGTTCCGTTGTTCTTTGTGTTTTTCCTTTATTCTGTTTTTTTCTTCTTCTATATATACAAAATTCTTGAGCTTCACTAAAACGGTAAATGGAATTCTGTATCATGTAAAATGCTCAATAAAAACTTTCTGACCTAATTAACACTGTAATCATGTCATCACAACCCATCAAAAATACTGTTTGCAGCTTCGAGGGTTTCTGTAAATCAGTGAAACAGGATTTCTGTCTCACAGTCATGCATTTAACTTCGTCTCCTGAATACTTTTTAGAGTGTAGTTAACTTTGCAGTGTGAATTTCTGGCACATTAAAATGTGTTTTCTTCCAACAGCTTTGCTGCTTAAAGGTTGAAACCAAATGAAGGCATTTAATGTGTTTTAGTTTAATTCAGATGAATACTGTTAGCACTGACCCAAGTGAAATAAGAACCAAACTTCATCTCCATCGTTGCCTTCACTGTGTGAGACGAGTGAGGCGGACCATCAGATATACTGGATGTCTCAGGAGGCTTTTGTTAATGTATGACGCTGTCACTTTTAATAAACTGACTGAGAAAACTGGGTTTCAAATAAAGTCTGCTTCAGAGGTCAGAACTATTTTTTAATGCCAAACCTGTGGGAATGTGATTTATCGACTGACATGATCCCTCTGAGGCTGATCGGCACCGCTGGGAGAACCCAGCAACAGAGGCATGCTGGGACGTGGGCCGGTTTCGTTCACAGCTACTTACCCTTTCATAGCACCGGGCCACTCTACTGTAAGAACGATGACATCAGCATTCAGCGCACACATCCTTTATTGATGAAATGATTACCTGCAACTTTTCCTCCTGTTTGGGGCCGAATCTCGGTACCAATGAGTGTGAGCGCAAAACTACTCAACGACACTCCCGAGCAGGAAGACGGACGATCAAGTCCTGCACGCACCGTGTCCTCCACCGCTGCTTTGATATGAAAAATGAATCGTCTGAGAGAGAGGATGCCGGTGCCGCTATGTGTTCTGGGGGAGGGTGTAACTCCAAAAGGGCCGGGATGAAGACATCTGGAGCTATAGATATTCTGGATCACACCTTCTCTCTCTGGCATCAACTCAAGCGTTATTAATGTGCAATAAAAATTTTATCAGCACTGAAAAATAAATGAGGCAGAATATGTGTTTGGGAACTGGCAATTTCACTGATGCAACTCTTCAATTAAGCCTCGGAAACAAGGCTGCGCTTAATGACTGCCATTTAACCTCAATTTGACATTTTTACTGTTCTCCTTCTTGTATGGGAAACTAAACCATGAGGAAACGATGCTATTTGTCAACCAGCGTCCGCCTCACTCCCCTTTCCTTCAATCAGAAGTTTCTGGGCCTGTAACTGTACAAACTGTACAAACTGTGCAACACATAGTACGGCTCTAGCGTGTTTAGCTGAGGACCAGAGTTTGCACGCTAGTAGGACCACTGGAGGAGAACATAAATCGTGCTCCTATTTCCAACTGGGGTGGATTGTGGAAATAGATTTGAGCTGAACAGCACAGCTAGGAAGGACATGGGTCAGCGCCACAATGTACAGCAGTGAATGTAAAGATCCTAAAGGGGCTTCATGAGGTGGAAATAGTGCTCGTGAGAATGTTTTTAAAAATTATAATAGTTTTCCAGAATATTGCACAAATGCAAAACGAGGCAGATTGTTGGTTGATGACTGTGCTGTGGACCGTGTCTTCAGCCTATTATGAATCTGCAATGTAAACATTGTTACGTAAGAAGACTATTAATATTTGGTCATGCTCCTGATCTTTATTCCATAATTCCCCGTCAGCGGCGCTCAGCGAGCGGCGGCAGAGCTGAGTAAATATCCGGATTCAAACGTGTATATTTGCTCACGCAGTCTCGCTGCAATCAAGTTTATTTTTAAACCAGACCACGGAGGATAATCAAACACGGATTACAGCTAGTAATTAAAAAACTGAAATCATCTAAAAGGATATAATATCATATAATAATCTACTTAGAAACCTCGTCTAATTAGTTTCCATTCACAAGATACATCAGACTGTAAAGTGGTTTCTCTGCGTCCAGCAGCCACAGAAACTGACTCCACTGGTGCAGAAGTCAAGGAAAGACGTGAAAGTTAGTTTGTTAGTGAGTTAGTCATCTTCAAGTGACACAAATGCAGATAAAGCTGATTTCTGTCAAGTCAAATGCCAGTTGTGCTTTTCTTACTTTTAAAACCACACTACTCCTCATCTTTCTTTTGCTTTATATGTACCTTTGCATTTAAAGCATGAGTTAACCTCTGTTTTATTAATTAGGATGAAATAAACTTTATAACTGCTACATGTTTGGATTAAAAACAATAGAAACACAAGTAAACTAAAACATGTGTAGTCTAACGTGAACCCGTTGTCATCCGCTAATAGACTGCTGCTGTATGAGCTGGTGTCAGGGGGGCAAAGAAAAGTCTGTGGAGTCATTAATAAAGTGAATCACTGACAATAACAGAGGATTATGAGCTTTTTCATTTTGAAAGGTTGATTTAATATCAGCAGCGGCAATAATCTGCAATGAAGACGTGATAAAGATCAACCGACTCCAAAACAATCCAATTTATTACATAAACTCAGGGGCATATTAAAAGCCTGTTTATAAAGAGTCTAAAGTAACTGTAATAGTGCAGCAGCCTCCACAAAGACTGAACTGGGTGAGGATGGTCTTTATTCCATCCTATTTAAGCATATGTGTGGACTAAACAGGCAACAGAAGTCTGACATCACTGATCAGCTGTAAAAACCAAGTCAGGCTTCTTCTGCTCATCTTATTTTTAAAGATTCTGCCAATATCGTTAACCTGAAGCATGTTGGCAAAAAGACACGAAGTGTGAGTAACGCCTTCAGCTCCAGTCGTTTCCTTGGAGGGATAGATGGGAGCTCCATTGTCAGCTCAGTTTGACATGACGGATGAGCTGCAAGCCAAGTTTTGCTTGCTTGTGAATGGAAACGCGCTTGTTCCTACAGCGCGAAGCTCAAGACAGACCAGAGAAAGTGTGTCGTGATGAAGCGTGTCTTTAAGCTATGTGATTGAATAATTATGAAATATAATTAAGAGCTTCAGTAGTTCAAGGTCAGAGATGGAGCAGGTTCTTTGAATAGACGACGTCCATAAATTATGCAGGAGCCCTCGGCTCAAGGAGGTGTTTGAAATTTCTCTGAGTAATGATTTGACCAGGATATCTTCTGCTTCTGGAATACTTGGCATGCTGTTCCACCGGGGAGGTCTCCTCGTGTCATCCTCATACATTTCAGTCATCTGTGATTCACATGGCTAAGTTAATATTTTTCCTGTTGCTCTCTCTGGTAACTGAAGTGAGTAAACGGGCTCTAATACTTTAATGTGCCCAATCCCCAAACAGCTGCACTGGTTAAACGCAATTAACATTTTAAGTGAATATTGACCCAGTCACATCTTTAGCGAGTTGGTTCGCTTAAAATTGCTGTTAACATGACAACATTCATCGATCCAGCAAAGCAAAGTTCTCTTGTTCCTGGACTGTGAGCTATGAGACCGTTAATGAGCTGGATGATTGAATACTGGACTGGAAATGAGGCAGGGGCAGCTAATGAAGCCAAGAGGGGCGACTGAGGAGAGGAGGGGCTGCATAAAGGTCTAAAAATACGTGTTTTTGCTCAGGAGGGATTCTTGCAAACCTGAGATGGATTAAACTCTAACAGTAAGTGATGAGACTGTGCATCCTCTTTGTTGCTAGTGCAAAACAAACATTCAATAATTACCCCAAGAGACTCGCCCGCTGACAGTACTGGCTCGGCGAGTATCTGAAACCTATTAGGGGAGACAATGAAGGCTGTCATGTTTTCATCTAAAAGAGCACAGAGAAAAATGGGTCTTAATTGACTCACCGGAGAAAAGTGCCTTTTCCTCAGTAAAGTGCACCTAGTTGACTTTAGATCGTATTGATTAAGGAGGACGAGCAAAATTAGTTTGCAAAGTCGCACTATGTTCACTACACACTGATGAATAAGCAAAAACTTTGGAGACGGTTTTGAAGTTCACCTCTGAGTACAACAACATCCCCTCCTCTCAATCCATCGCTCATTCTTCCTGCCTTCTGTACTCCAGCTGCTGGAAGTGACAGATTAAAAGCACTGGTTCAGGTTAAAAGGAAGTCAGACATCAGATCAAGGCGCCCTCACAGACAGATTTCTGCTAGCCTCTGGATGTTAAACTGGATTCCTCATCACACTCTCTCTCTCTCTCGGTTGTTGTTGTTGTCTCCAACTCTTTTCTAAATTTAAACCCCACTCATCAGGATCCAAAAATGGAGAAATCATTATTTTAAAAACTTTAGAAACAGAGGCCTGCTGGCTGTGTGCCAACCATCTCTCAGGTTACCTTCACTCTCTCTGCCTCATGCAGGAAATGTGGCACCAGTGGAAAAAGACAAAAAAGACAATCAGGAGTTTGGACTCTACCTTAGCAGCAAATGAAGAGCTGGGCTTCTCCAAGAGGTCCCAGAGTTTCTTCCTCTTCTCAGAACAACACGTGGTAGTAAACTCCTCTCCTTCCCTCTCCCTCATGTTCTCGGCCTCTCTTTTGAGCTCCTCGTTCATCTGCTCCTTCTTCTGGTGGTACCTGGCCTGGCAGCAGGACTCCAGGTAGATCTCATCGATGCCCCAGAAGTCCAGCTCTTGGCTGAAGGAGAGGGCGCACATCTCCTCCATCATGTGCAGCTTCCCGGTGCGGTAGAAGTTGAGGATGGAGGTGAAGGCTCCGGGGTGTCTGTCGAAGAAGTACTCGTTGCCATCCAAACTGTAGTCGTCGCATATCTCCATGATGGAGTCGTGGGTGTTGCAGTCCCTCAGCTTGCCCAGCCGGGTGCGGGGCAGCCGGTCCAGCGTCCTCCACAGGACTTCGTGGAGGAGCCCGCCGACGTTGAGCCTCACCCGGCGGGAGTGCGTCTTGCTCCGGATAATGTCCATGGTGTCCGGTGGCAGCGTGGAGGCCAACCGAGACCCGGCTTTGATCATCTTGTCTCAAGTCACTCGGTCACTTGGAGATGCAGGCTGGTGGGTTAAGAAGACATGGTCCTGTGGGTGACCGCATCAGGGCCCCTCTTCGTCTCTTGTACCTAAAATGTAAATATGAACACAAAAGAAGAACATATGAGGGAGTGATTGGGGCGCAGCTGAACGGGCTCTCCCGGTGTCCTACAGCAGCAATGTCAGGTGGTTTATCCACTCATCAGAGCACCGAATAGATATTTTAATCAGCTTTAAGAGGCACAGCCGCTTTTCTTGCTGACACGGGGTGGAGGTGAGGGGGGGTTGGAGCACCGGGGACGACGATAAACTCCACCGGGGAGCGCTGTCCGGTGCTGAAACGCCCCACTGCCGACCCGAGGACCGGCGGCGGACTGTCGCTGTCCGCGGACTCCGGTGCTGAAAGCGCCTCGGCTGGGGTGGGACGGCGACCAAACCCCCCGGTTCAAAGGCAGAGTGTCAATGTGTTCCCCGGAGTGGTGCTAAGCTGCACTAATGCCGACACCGATTATCAACTTTGATTAACACGGTATCATCATCATCCCCCTTGGAGCCCGTCCTTACGAGTTTACGGTTGTGTCACCGCGTTTACGCACGTTTACATGATTCATTTTTTAACAACTGTGCCGATATGCAAAGTTATTTTGATGTGTGTGTGTGTGTGTGTGTGTGTGTGTGTGTGTGTGGAGCCATGCAACACAACTGCTTTTTTTTTTTTTTTTTTTTGCAGGGAGATTTAAATCAATGGGCTCTCACTGTTAAATACATTGAAAAGGCTCGATTCTCCAGACGCACACAGGACATCACATCTCCAACTAACAGCAAATCATAATGCAACCTGGAGCTAAAACATACAGGTCCAAACACAATCAAGAAATACGCAGGACACATACGGGTCTTCCTTATGTCCCGGTTCGCCTCACGGACCCACATCAGCAACATTTCAGGAGTAAACGCGTTCAAACTTGTCCTGCCCGTCCAGGTCTGCGCTGTGCTGGGAGCGGATGGAGGCATCATGAGCTGCGCACCGACATGGTGAAGAGCAGAAGTGAGCCGCACAGACAGCAGAACCGTCCAGTCCGCCCTGTGCACCACTTCCTCCAGCGAATCAACAAGTAGACTCCAGAGAGTAGCCGGGAATACACTCGGTGTGTCTCCTCTACCTGCTCGCAGTGTGTGTCTGTCTGTGTGCGCGTGTGTGTGTGTCTGCGTGTGCGCGCGCGTGTGCGTGTGTGTGTGTGTGTGCTGGCTGGCCGGCGCCTCTGACTGAACGGGATCCTGCAGGGGCTGATTTCACTCAGGCTCCTCCAGCGGCGCAGCCTGTGTGAAGTTAACCCTCAGAGAGCCGGAGCTCAGAGCAGCTGCACCGAGTTTCTGCTCCGTGCAGCAGGAAGCAGGTTCGTCCAACTCACAGCCCGCGTCAGGAGTGGAGGAGGAACGATTATAAAGTGATCTAAGGGCTAAACTGAGACAATGCATGAACCTGATTGCAGATCAAACCGAGTCCAGCACATTTCAGCTGCATGTTTTCTTTTTTGTTCTGAAAACATTCTAAGAAGGTTCTGCAGAGATCAAGTATTAGTACTTTTTTTGTTTTGTTCCCAGAATGTTCTGCTTAAAGGCAGGATAATGTTCTCTAAAGGAGACTACAGTCGTTCCTAAAATGTTCCCAAAATGTTGCATTGAGATTCTCCTTCCTTTGTTATCAGGCTGTTGTGGGTTTTATAGAGAAATATTCCATCATGTGTTACCTCAACAACACCCGAAGAACATCACACAACGTTCTGTCTTCATGAATATATCATCTCACAGGAACATTTAACCCGATTCAGGACTTTCATGTTTCCACACGTAGAAGGTCTTTCTGGGTCCATCAGACCCCAAGAAAGAATACATGCAAAATATCTGTTGGTATTCATTATAGGCTTTTAAACTATGCTAAATGAATTTTCTAATAAGTTGATGTATTTTTGGTTCCAAATGCACGACAGATGTCCCTCTTCAAAAATAAAAAACAACACCTGTCAGCTGAACCAAATGGCCCGGTGTCCAAAAGAGCCCAGAAGTCCTGAAAAGGGTTAAAGGAGATGTCCTGTTCTATGAGGCTTTGTTCGCATCCTGGTCATGTTTTTGAAGGTTTTTGTTGTCATGTGACATAATCTGTGACCCAGACAACATCCTATAACATCCCAGAATGCTGCGGTCATGTCTTCAGTCTAAAAATGTTTTAAAAAAAATTTTAGGTTATGGTAAAGCCAAAGTTACGGGAACATTCCCCGCGAGCTGAGCTGTCCCTCCAGCAACAGGAGATAAATGCACAGTCAGCACCACTATAAATGGCAGACATGCAGGAATCCCCCGTAGGAATGGTTTAGTGATCCCTGAATGCTTTCTAAATGTTAAAACACAAAATCTGATTTAAAGAAATGTGCTCAGCAGGATAACTCAGACAACAATGCAGGCTTTGGCTTCATGACAGTCAGACTTAGAGGATAAGTTCATCACTTAAAACATTCAATTAAACTGAGATTTAAATCTGTTTGGGCTTGCAAGTTCTGAGTTAATCCACGATTTTGTCCAGACTTTGACGCCTTCGTGTACCTTTCCAAGTGGCAGAAGTGAAAACGTGAGCGTGTTTCTTGTTGTTCCTGGAAGACCTCCTCCCTGGCAGCTGACATTCTGCGATATGCGACAGATCTTCTGCGTGATCAGCTGCTTTACACATGATATATAAATCTAAACTTTCCACTCTGATTCACTCTGCAAACAGCAGGCATGTGTCAGTGTGATGGATGTGTGAGCAGCTCTGTGTACAGTACAGACAGTACTCTCATTACACTCGTGTTCTGCATTTGAAATAAAGGACACTTTCATTTTTACAACTCACGAAGAAAAAAAAAGTGAAAATCGTGAGCAGCGTGATCGTGTGACTGATGGACGGATCCCAATAAGTTTGACAAAGCAAAGGTTTTACACAAAGTATAACTTACATTTATTGATAAATAGCAAAAATAATTACATACGGTATTACATAAATAGAGAATAGAAAAGTACAAACGGCATATTGACACTATAAACAAAGTTCTTGTTGAAATGTGCATGAAAGTCTGTGGCTTTTTGCTTGTTCCCTTAGTGCGTATTTCTAGGTTTGTATCGGATGAGCAAATCTCCCTCAGGTTGTAGCATCCCAAATCCATAACGGCTGGCATTTATCTCTGGCATCTGAGCATGTAGGTCACACAGCTCCACATCGTAGTTAGTCAACACCATGTAAACAAACCTGAAGAGTAAACACGGATGAAACACAGAATTAGGACACTCGAGCAGACATTTAAAGTGCCAAAACTCCAGCCGTGGAGCATTCTGACGTCCAACTCTGAAGTCATCTGTCCAAATAAATTTAGGGCACTCACTGTCTGATGGTATTGATGGCAAACTGCTTTCCCACACAGCCATTGGTCCCTGCGCCCCATGGCATGGTGTAATATTTCAGCCGCCTCCCTGCTTTATAAAAATCCTTCTTCACCGATCCGTCCTCGTTCAAGAAGCGATCGTACTTGTATTTCTGCAAAGGAAGAATAATGTTTGCATAGCAGGTATTAGATGCAAGCAATTAGAAAAGAAAAATAACAGTAAAGCTTGTTTGTTTGTGCAGTAACTGGTGGACAGATTTTTATTTCAAAGCAGCCTTGCAACGTCCTTCCCACGCCTATTAGCTGTGTTTCTGTTCCTGTGCTCTGCTAATCCCTCAGTGGCCCACAGATCTGGATTTCACCTCTCGCTGGGTAGTACAGGGTCAGCTCTGGGCACACATTGATTCCACCTTACATAAACAACTACGGATGCTAATTACACTTAAGTCTGCCTCCACCGAGTCCCTAAGGCAATTATTACGACTCCTGTTGGCGGGACAGGAGGGTTTAGACGGAGCGGAGGGTTTGGAAACGGGACAGCGGTTTGTTTTAACGAGACGGGACGACGAACCTGTGGCTCGTGGTAAATCTCAGGGTCCATCTGAGGGCTGATGAAGGGGAACAAACACACTCTGTCTCCTTTTCGTAGCAGGTACTCCTGGCCATCAGCCATGTGAAGAGTCTTTTCCTGCACCACCTCTCTGGTGATGAAGGGGGCGGCGGTGAGTCTCAGCGTCTCTTCCAAGGCACTGTCTGAGAGGGGCAGAAAGACATGCAGGTTAAAATTTAAAAAAAGAGCAGCAGCATTTGTGTTTGCAAATATTTCTGCAGTACTTCTCTAGTAAACTGGTGGATTTCTTTAAGTCTGGTAATTGTACTCCACACTGTGCCCATTTGGATTTATGCTGCATGCATATATAACTCCCAATGTCTTGACTTCGGCACTATATATATGTTTCATTCTATAGACAGTGCATGCTGCATCATGCAAAAAAAATCCAGACTTTTGTTTGTCTGCAACTAATAAAGGTGCCACTGTTTACACAGTCTGGGATAAAGCCCTCACCAAACACTGGGGTGTTCACGGTTCTGTCCATGGGAAGAGTCTCCGAGGTTTCCATCTGTGCGATCTGGCTAAATTCCCTCTTTACTGCCACCAGAGCTTCAGGATTTGTCAACAAGTAGCCCAACAGCCAAAATGCAGCAGGACCAACATTACCCTGGAAACAAACAAAGACTCGCATGAGGATGAAGATAAGGTCTGTGGCTCGGGCGTTGCATAGAGACAGCACAGGTGGCTGTTTGGTAGCAGCAAATAAAAACATCACATGACATCCACGCCACTTGCATCCACCTTCTGTTGGAGTCATAACGAGGCACGGTTTTCAATTAAACTCAGAAAGCCTAATGACTTTTTAGTGCTGGCTAGATGAAAAAGGACGGCTTCCTTTCATGTGTCTGGGACGAGAAGGGCCGTGCTCTGGATTGTTTCACTGCTGGCAAAGCACAGAGCCGTTAATGGTTTACTTAAAAAGGAAAGCCATTGGAAACCTGAGGTCCCCTGCCATCTGCCTGCATCCAAGGGCAGGACGCTGAGGCTATTCAGTTTTATGGCAAACCACAGCGCTATTTACTGAGAGCGGAGGCATGAAATACGGCACACTGTGGAAACATAATATAATGAATAAATTAACTCAAAATTGCCTCTTAAGTTGCTGCAAATATGCTACAAAGACTAGTTAATGATCACTTTACTGAACATAAATGCTGCTGATGAGAGAGCTTGTGTGTCTCATAAAAGATGTGTTAGAACATGTCTCACAGATCTGAATATTTTACCGTATGTTTAAACGTAATGCTGTTTGTCACAACTGTCGAGCTAATCCTCAGCACAACTTGCAAATAAATGGCTGCTTCACTCACTGAAGCTCGAGGGTCGTTTGAAAATCGGACAACTTAAGTCATGACTCAAAACTCGTAATTAAATGTAAACAAACTAAAGTGACAAGCACGAAGTTAAAAAAAAGAAAAATGAGTGAGTAGTCTGTAGTTTAAGGCAAGTAAATGTCTGATTAACACCTTGGAGGCAATAAACACCTCCAGCAGGTCTGAAGGCAAAGCTGTATGAGTCAGAACCACGTCCAGGTAAATGTGAGTAACACTCAGCTCAGCTCCAAAAAACTATTTCAGCAAATACGTACAAATGTGGAAATCACCATTTATTTCTTTGAGCCAGACGGAGCTGCAGGTATGAACACACCGCTCCCTAAATATCCAGTAAACAAACTCGTATTTATATACAAAGATTCTTCATCAGAAATGTTTTAAACTGAAACAGAAACTACAATAAAGTTGTGATTTCTTTTAGTTTTACACAGAATATAACTCTTAGCCTTTTACAGTCAGACTCTACTGAACAGTGCTCTGAACTCTTACACTGTGCTGTGTTGTCTGTTTTTATTCCCTCTCATGACTTGGCTAAACAAAGGCAGACTCTAAAACTAGAGGTGAACAGCGCCCTCGTGTGCCAAAGAAGAGTACTGCACCTCTGTATTTCTATTTGTCTCACTGAGAGGAACTTCCCTTAGAGCAGGGGTGTCCAGTCCTGGTCCTCGAGGGCCACAGTCCTG